AAATACACTTCTCTCTCTCTCTCTCTCTCTCTCTCTCTCTCTCTCTCACTCACTCTCAAAAAGGAAAAAGTAGTCCTACTAGTCACCCAGAAGTGGCAATGCTTGAGCAGGATTTGTGCATTCAATGTATGATAAATATCAATTACATTGTGGCAATGCCATCTGTGGTATTGAGGGGGGTTCCAAAGATAACACTAACTTTTAGTCAATTTATTTGGGCCAATATATTTTCTAAATCCATTACCAAATTCACCTATTTGTAAATTTTTCCAAACCATTTATTATTTTCTATATTTTTAGTACTTACTATTTTCCCTATACTCACACATATAGGATGGTCTGTTCGACACATGTATCGGACTTGCCACATGAATATCATTGTTTTCAATTTTTCACTTTGACAACAATACATGAAGATGGATAGCTGTTGAAGGGTTCTTAGCGGTCATAGAGAGAGAGGGGTTCTTTCTTTTACTCCTTTAACAATCTATAGGATTACTAGGATGGTATGCCTTTTTTTTCAGAGAAATTGGTTAAGTGGGTCATTTGACCCTACAATCCAACTGTTGAGATAAAGTGGCCATGCAGCATTATTCATGCTTGGCCAAAGGAGTAGTCCATCAGGCTGGCTTCGTCATCAACTAACTCTAGGAAACTTGGCTATTCTCTTTCTTTTATTATTGTGATGCTCATAGCCAATTGTTGTTGAGGCCTGAGCAATGTTTTTAAAAACGGTCCGCCCGGAGTCTAGGCACCCGCCTAGGCGGCCTAGACCAAAATACCGCACACCTAGACCTAGGTGGCCCTACACGGGCGGATGTACCTGGGCGGGCGCCCAGGGGCGTGGTTTTTTTTTTGTTTTTTAAATAGCCAAAAGGGAAAATGGGGTAATTTTGAGGTTTAAATAAGTTATGGGGGTTATTTTCAGCCCCCAAAGTTAAAAGAAAAATTCCATAAACCCTCAATCTCTTGGCTACACCATCAAAAGTATTTTTTGTGGTTTGAAGAACCTTCCTAAATCTTTTCACTTATTATGAAATATGGGGAGTTGGAGACAATTACTAATACATATCCTATTAGACTTTTAAATTTTGTATGGTTTGAATTTTGAAAATTTGAACAAATTTATTCTCAATATGCGATATGCCATATTTTTATGCATAAAAAAACATGTTACAATATTTTCAAATGTAATAAATTCTAAAATTGACACAAATATATGTATATACTACATATCTATATAAATTGTACAACAAGGCGCTGGGCGCCAGGCCTGCCACCTAGGGGCCGCTTATTGTTTTTTGAAACGTTGGGCCTGAGATTTTTGGTCAAATGTCCATATATTCAGTACTCGGTCATCTGTAAATTTACATCTTATGTTTAAAACAAATTACAGTCAATTTCTTTTTTTAAAAAAAAAAATTAGCCATGCTTAAATAAGGATTAAATTTCTCACTTCAGTTGCCGACTAAGAAGAAAGGTTCTGGGAATTTGGGTTCAAAATTTTGAAATACATTGTTTTGGTTTTCAAAGGTGGGGGTTTACTAGGAAATCTAAAGGATGTATGCATTCTTGTAGGAGTTCTGACATCGTTCCTTAATGCTATGTACAGAACCAAATAGGAGTCATGAAGTTCTTACCATCTTGCGTTAGCAGTTGCTGCTATGCATGTGTATATTACATGTTATGTTTGTTTATCTTAATTTTACTGCCGATCTTAAGGTAAGGCCTCTTACCATTAATTTGGTCGATTTTATTATGTTTTACTTCTGATACCAGGAGTCCTCATGGGAACTTTGCAGACACTGGTAAGGTTGATTTGACAATGAATGTTGTTGAGCGCGTGAGTGGAGGTTTCTCTGCGGGTGGTGGAATTTCAAGTGGGTAAGTAATAGCATTCAAATTTCGAAGACCTAGTTGAGTTCTTTAAGTTTAAATCTTTTTTCTGCATTCATTTTGTTTACTTGGTGGTACTCTTTTTGTGTAGGATAACCAACGGTCCTCCCTCTGGACTTATTGGAAGGTAAATGCTGAACATTTATTGAGAATATTCCTCTTGCAGTTATTGGCTACTTTGTTTCTTATTGCCCTCCTTTCATTCCAAAAGTTCTTTATAGCAAGATCTATATGAATCGCTATGCAGAGTAGTGCATTATTTTCAGAACTTAATGTTGTTGCTAAGGCTTTCTAGAAATTTTGTGATGTGTAAGTCTTGTTACGTATAAGAGAAGTTTCTGTGAATCGTCGTCCTTTGAAAATATGAACATGCCATCATCGATAAGTATGCATTACTCTTATATCTGGATAAGACCAATATTTAAAGATTTGCCGTGGACACATTCATCACTTTTCAAAAGCTATGTTGTTCTAAATAACCAAAATACCCTGATAAGCCAAAAGCAATTGGTTATGACAAAAGGGGGGAGTAATCTATGTCTAGAAATTTGTGTTGGAGGATAAGGATCATTGTTAATGGCTGGGGTTAATTGACCCTGTTGATGAGTGAAAAGTTAGCATAAAATCTTTATACAATTGTTTTAAACTGAATAGAAGTGGATAATCCGATTATGGGGATCGACCTTGAATGAGGTAATGTATGCTTTGAAATGCCACAAACAAGGGGAACTCTTAATTGGGTTCATTCAATTATTACATTTATGCTTAAGATTTGGTTCCAACCTTGGAATGAGATGTTTGTAAAAATCTGGCTTGCACCGAGAACTAGGCTTTCCAGTCTTGCAATATGATGTGGTCCTATATCGATATTGGTATTACTATTTCTATGTTCCTGTTCATCTAAATCAGGAATTTGTTTGCAGCTTTTCATATTCCCATCGGAATGTCTTTGGACGCAACCAAAAGCTGAACATTTCACTAGAAAAGGGACAGAGTGGCTCTATATTCCGGATAAACTACACTGATCCTTGGATTCAAGGAGACGATAAGAGAACATCCAGATCAATATGGGTGCAGGTGATTTTAAGGATTAAATTATGTTGTTTTGATATATACGTAGTATCTGTTATGGAAAATCCTGGTTAAATTGTTTGAGGGAAGTTCTGTTTTCTTTTTTTATAGAATTCAAGGACCCCTGGAATGCTAGTACATGGCGACCATTCTCGCCACGGTGGAGTTACAATAGCCCGCGAGACTGCAGGTATCGAATATGGCCGGCCATTTAGGCCAAAGTGGAATGGAACTGCGGGTGTAATTTTCCAGGTATGGTCACTAGTCTGCCTTTTATTTTTTCTTTTGATCCAGCTAGTGTTTTACTCTTTATGGTTGTGGGTGGATGGTCATTACAAATATATTCAAAGTTGGGTATAGCTGCCGAACATTGTCACTCAATGTAATCCAGTTGACTAGGAGTCCTTTGGTTCATCATCATCCAATGGAATGATGAATAGTTATGGAGAGAGTTGGACTCACCATTGGTGTCATGTCATGTTCTGTTGGGTCCCTTTCTTCGTTCTTCACCAACCGTCATTTCATTGGATGGTGCTTCTTCTCTCTTTATTGATGCTATTGGAATCTTAATATGAACTATACTCTCAGTTTCCTAGTTAAAGACATCCTAGAACCACAAAATCCTTCACCTGAATAGCTTGTTTTCTTATGAATGACTTTAACTGTCTCAGCATGCAGGTGCCCGTGATGATGAAGGGAAACCTATCATTAAAGATGCGTATGGCAGCCCCCTAACTTTTAGGTTTGGTTTATAAATCTTCACCTTTTCTTTTTGGAAGTTTCAGTTTTAATTTCACATTTTTCTCTTGTACACATGTTTGTGTCATTTACATGTTTGGATCACTCTTTCTGATTTCCACGTCTGTTTCCAGTGGAAATAAGCATGATGATATGCTGATTGCCAAACTTGAGAGTGTTTACACTGGTTCAAGCGACCATGGTTCTTCAATGGTATGTACTACCTTAAGACTTTGTTTTTCTATTCTCAAGTTAATGAAAGGTGTAAGTGTACTAAAATCCAGTAGTCTATGGAAAACCTTTATTGACTTTATGACATCCAATAATATGTGCACTGGTAGAGTGACTCCTGCCGTTGCACTCATTTCCTTTTCTGGTGGGATCTGGCTCTTTGTTTATCACATTTCAACATTTCAATGGACAGTGATGATCCAGTGGTGTTTTCCATGGTTCATTGGATTATACTATACTTTTCCCTTATAAAAGTAGTCAATTGTGTATCCTCATTGGCATCCATGTCACTCATGTTGCAGTTTATGTTTAGCATGGAACAAGGCCTTCCTGTTTTGCCCGAGTGGCTTTGTTTCAACAGAGTGAATGCCCGTGTCAGGAAGGGCTTTGAAGTTGGCCCTGCTCGTCTTATTATGAGGTGCGATTCTCATACTACTCATGCTATATACATATATATATATATATATATATATATATATATATATAAGATTCTCATACTTTCCATTGAGTCACTATTGGAAGTTTGTGAGGGTTAGGCAAGCTCACTACACAGACTTGTGAATGTCGCTGATGTTGGTTGTCACTGATGTTGGTTGGTGAACATGGGAATGCATACCATGATCCTGTAGATTATAGTTCTATAGTATAACTGTGAGACTTGTTTTGCTTTATGAGGCAGAATGTTGGGCGGTCAAGAAACAACATATCCAAATAATGAGTATAGCTGAGATGAGCATGTTGAGATGGATGAGTGTCAAGAGAAGATGGAAAGAACTAAAAATGAATACATTTGGTAGAATTTAGGTGTGGTACCAATAGGCGACAAGATGAGAGAATATAGACTTAGGTGGGCTGGCCATGTGCAGCATAGACTCAGTACAATAGCTGTTAGGAGGTGCTAAGTGGAAGGCTAAAAAAAGACAAGGGATAGGCCCAAAAAGTCATGGTTGGAAGTAGTGAGAAACGATATGTGGACTATAGCGTCATTGAAGGTATGACCCTTAATAGAGCAAAATGACATGCCAAGATTCGTGTAGCCATCCCCAATTGGTTGGAAAAACGCTCTGATTAGTCATCATCATCATGTGGATTATGGGATATGGTACTTGAGGGACCATCCTATGTAAGTTCTCGATGACAGGAAGTGGGGAGTTAGCCAGCGCACTTGTGTGTTCACCCATCAAGAGGGAATCATGATTTTCTTTTCTTGTTGGCAAGCAAGCTGGGTTTGAGCCCACAAACATATGATTGGAACAGTACCAAGAAGAAAATTCACGAGATTGGAATTTCAACCTTCAATTTAAGCTAGAGGGGGACTGTGAGTTTTCCATTTTGGGTAGGCATGCTGGGTTCCCACGACCAACAGGGTAGGGATAAGTGTCTTCCAAATGAACTATGGGTTTGAACCTGGGGGTTAGATATCAAAACAACAAAATCTTAGTCTTCTGTTGTGAGGTCGTATCTTCTTGTCTATTCTCTAGCTGCTGACTAAGATTTTTATTCATGGATATATGATGTTGATAAGATACGTTGTTTTGTTTTTGCAGTTTGTCAGGTGGCCATGTGATGGGGAATTTCTCTCCTCATGAAGCTTTTGCTATTGGTGGAACTAACAGTGTTCGAGGATACGAGGAGGGTGCTGTGGGCTCTGGCCGTTCGTATGCAGTAGGAAGCTCAGAAGTTTCTGTTCGTTTGGTAAGGAACCACACTACATTTTCACCTCTCATATTTGAGGTTTTCTCTCTCTCTCTCTCTC